AATTTTGTAAAATTAAAAATCGATCTATGATGATCTGCAGAAAATTAACCAATCAGATAAACTTCTGTCTATGAACCTGTTACTGTGATCAAATTTCCGAAATAAAATCACATGCCTGAAAAATCGATTGCGTAACACCAGATGCTCGATCACATGGAACTTTTTAAATTCTAAAAGTAAATCTATCCCTGAAAATGTCCAAAAAATGTTCTTATTTTCTTGAAACTCCACCCAGAGATTACAGCTTTTTGGGTTTTTATCAATATCGTCGACAGCAGTCCGATTTCACTTTCTCATTTAGAAAGGAGGCCCTTAAGCTCAAGAGCGATCTCAACGAACTAATGAATGATGATTCAGAGGAAGTTAAGACGGCTGTAAGCCATCTATTACACAATTACAAGGTCAGTAATATATATATTTCTTTTTCGCCAAACGTGATTATACGACTAGGAGAGTTCAATGTGCGCCCTGCTCTCTGATGATTGCGTATCCGTCGTATATCACACAAGATTCTTTCTTGTGCGCACAACTACGGTGGACATTTGCGTACTGTTCACCTTATGGCTTGCGTACCCGTTGTGCGTCCGTTGCGGTCAGCCTCAGTCATTGCCAGTTTTATTTTTTCATACTGTTCCTTCAATCACTATACTCATCTATCTACTGTGTAAGAATCATCGCGAAAGATATCATGACGTCCGGGTATTTTGGAATGAAATAGAATCATCTACTGTCAATTCGAATTTACACTTAGATAAGGTTCTTTACATTGTCATTTCTTTGAGCTCCTATTCCAATTCAGACCTGTACTGGCTGCATTCCTGATTAGGTAAGGACTGCTCGAACCGTGATGCACGGAACCAGGAATTTGATCAAAACCGCTATCAAAGAAATCGACAGAACACTGAAACCCGATGAAAGTTTAGTTTCTAATAATAAATTGGTATGTGCAGTGATTATGTTTTTTGTTGCATCTACTGATTAAAATTGTGCATCACCCATGAATGAATGTGAATTTTAATATCAACAAGCGAAATCGTCTAAGTATTCAAAATCGGTGTTCCTGAGTGTGACTTTCTGCATAGTAAATTCACTTTCTTTTTCAACATCAATGTTTCAACTCTCAAGGATGATGATGACGTGACTCCTAGCCGAAAGAAGCAAAGAACTGATGCTGAGTTTCCTCCTTCTACAAGCGTACAAACATCCACCATTTTTAAACCTGATAATGTAAGCACTGAAGAGCTTGGGGACGACGAGGAAATCAAATTTGATCTAACAAACATTTCGATGGAATTAAAGTGCGAACCGGTGGTTAAAGTATGTCACATGCAAAATACTGATTACTTTATTTCGTATATCTCACAATTTGCTTCTGTTTTTTAGTGGGAAATTGGTTGTATTAATATAACTGATAGATTTCGGTGTTATCAGGAAGACGTTCTCAAGAAGGCGGAAAGAGAGGGTTTAAAATATGAGAATATTTACGAACTCTTGTAAGTATTTTGAAACATGTAGCATTTGACTAGCACAACGATCCTATTAGGGTATATTGATATAATTGCATTTAGAGCTTTATCGTCAATAATGGTGCTCTGCTGGCCATGTCCGTACCCCATGTTCACGAATCAAGAATGGGAAGAGATAACGAAAACTAATCCTTATATCATAAGCGAACCACCACTTCCACCGGAAATTTCGTCTTCTCTTCGTGATGCAGTTAATAGATATTTGATTGGTGGATTTGTCTTCATGGAACGTGGAAACACAGAGTTGAATAAGATGGTTGCACTTATGTTTAACAACCTGTAAGTTTACTCATCCTATAATATGTAGTTTATAATCCATGAGTTTGTGGCTTACATACATAAATTCTTTTAACACATTACAGATATTATGGTATTCCAGAGGTTGCTCCTTCGAAGTTGTCCGAGGAAGAGCACTGTGAAATGTTTATTTATCCAATTGCTCGTTCGTTTCGTAAATCCAAAAAAGAACATGAACTTAAATTAAATCGTGCCAACGTTGGCTCAAAGACGAGACCAGACCTTTCTTGTACAGTGAATGGTGTACCAATCCTAAACTCGGAGTTTAAGCCACTGGGTTGCACACCATTACAACGGAAGAAGGATAAGTTGAAAGTTCAGTTAAAAGCCCGAAAATCAATTAATCAACAATTGAAAAGTAAGAGAGGCCCAGGTGAAGCTGTCATGTTTCTAAACATGGGTATGTATGCTCGCAATAAGGGAGTTTATTATTTTTTATAAATTACTGAATTATGCTTCTACAATAACCAGGTGATTCAATGGAATCATTCTTCATGGATCTGAAGTACGATGGGTTATACCGCTCCTGGTCATTTCTCACAACCAAACTAGTGGTCGACAAGGCTACGATCCCATTAGCGGGGTTCGCAATCAGCCATTTTATGGCTTTGGAGGTAATGTCACCTTTTCTTTGAGCCTATAATGAGACATTCTCTCACAATTTCACTTACTCAGGAACGTGTTGAAAAGATTGCGAAGGACTTCAAATATCGAAGTAGTCAATTCACGCCACCTGCACAGATGTCTTTTGTGCGCAAGCTTCCGGATTCTCCACAAGTAAAGATGTTACTTCATTAGAGTCGATCAATTTACAATAGTAATGTCTGCCTGATTTTATCATCAATAAAACAATGACTGTTTATAATAAAGTGATCTTTTATATCAATTTTTTTTCTTACGTGATTAAATTTTTCAGATAATCGTTACACATTATTTATCGGGCACATGATCGACTGTCAACATGCTGGAAAATTAAATCATATGCACGATGCGGGACAGCATAAGATATCCACTTTTAGCTGGCTTACAAAAAATCTTATAACTTTTGAACAAATAATTAAAATAAAAAACCCTCTTACAAATTGATAGATTTTTAGTAAAGCTATAATTCTGTAAGAGCATTTTTTATTTTAATTTTTTTTTAAGAAGTTATAACATATCAAACTTTTTAATTTTTATAATAAAGTTGGAAAATTAACACAGAGATACATCAACTTTGCATATGATTGTATCACGTGTTTGCGATTTTATTGGTCAGAATTAATTATATTAATTATAATTTAGGCTGGCATTATTATAATGCTAATTTGGGTTGTATGCAGTAATAATGTATACTTTTCAAAGTATTTGATAATATTATATGCTTTAAAAAGTATGTATTTTAAAGAGATATGTTAAGAGAAAGTTATTTTATTAGATTAAAATGATTATTTTATTATTAAGAGATTTGTTTTATTATTTTAAGAGTATTATTTTTTTATTATATCAAGACTTTCAAAGCTTAAAAGATATCAATAGAAAAGAGTATTTGTAGCTCGCTTAGTTTAGCTAGTATATATGAAATTCTTTCTTCTTCTTGATTTTTCTTATAATACTTTTTTTTTTGTTAATTCATTTATAATTTACTCTTATGTTATTATTTTTCCAAATATTTTCTCTCTTGAGAATCTAGTTAATTTTAATTTGAATGAAGAATACTTATATATTATTACTTTTTTAGATATTTTCTTTCTCAAGAATCTTGATTCAAGCAAAAAATACAAAAATATCAGTTCTGGAGATGATAATCTTAAAGATAAGTTTCAAGAGAATGATAATGAGTTAAATAATGTTAAGACAAATAAGAATTCTATAATTAATTAACTTTTTGTAATAATAATAATGAGTTTTGAGAAAAAAGAATATCTAGCTATTTATACTGATAATTCAAAATAGATATAATAAAGAAAAAATTAAGAGAAATGATAACAAAAAGATTAAAAATTTTGTAATTCTTCCATATTATTAGTAAAAATATTAAAAATGATAATAATACTAAATCAGAATTGATCAAAGATGAAAATATATATAAGATAATTAAATTTATAAATAGAGTAATACTTGATAAATACTTTTTATAACTTAAATTACTTGTTATATAATAATTTTTTATTTTTTCTGATTATAACTTGATAATAAAAAAGAAAATTAAGATAGTAAAAATAGTTTCAGAGATAGTTAATAATAGGTCATAACTTGCAAAATATATAAAAAAGTAGTTAAATATCTATATAAAAGAGGAATTAATCTAGCTAAACTACTCAAGAAAGATTTCTCTTTAAAAGATTACTTTATAATAAGCTAATTTCCCTTTAATTAACTACTTATCTATATATTTAGAAATTTAAAATAGATTTAATAATAATCAAGAAATATTTTGAATAGTATATTCTTTTTTAGTTAAATGTTAAATTTATTTAATATATCTTAATCTGAATTGCTTGTTAATAAATACATAAACTTGATTTTTAATATAAATATCTTTAAAAAGGTATCTATACAAATAGATATGAACAGTCTGATATTATTACTTATTATCAAATTTTTCTTCAAGAGGTTATCAAACTTGATTGACTTATATTTAAGTGACTTGATAAAGATTATAAGATAAGAATTTTTCTATATTTGAATAATAATAAGAAAGAATACATATAGGTAACTTATAATAAATTAATCTTTCATAGATCATATATTATGTAAGATTCTGAAGAGAATAATCATTATGAAAAAAAAATTGAATCTTGATATGCATATGAGTAATTTTTTAATAGAAATAATAAAATTGCTTAAAGATAAATAAGAAGAAATATATATAATAATGATACTTGATACTAATTAAAATAGATTTTGAAACTTCAAAAAACTTCTTAAATAAATTATATAGATAATAAATATCTTTGAATAAATATATCTGGAGAATATGAGTATATTTATCTTTAATAATATTACTTTTCATATAGCTTTCACTAAAAATGCTCTTATAACTTTGAAAATAAATCTTAGTTTAGAAGAATCAGTTTCAAAAATATGAAATATGACATAGAATGATGATTATCAATTAATAGTCATTGAAGAAAATTACTTTATTTATAACAAAAAGATAAAATTCAATATCAACTTGTATAATTAGCCTAAAGAAATCCAGTAGATTCTTAGTGAAAGAGGATTGTGACAAGAGAAAATAATACTAAAATATACTTTATGCAAGAAAAAAGAGGCAGATCTTAATGTTATTAATTATTATACATATTATTTAATAGCCAATCAGTCAGATTTTCTTGTACAACATGATTAGATTTAACAAGAAATTAAATCTTATAAATATAAAATAATTTTATTATCTTTAGTTATTCTTTCCTAACTAGTCTAATCTTAATAATATTATCTATTCTTAGATTATATTCTACTCTAAGTTTTATTCTGAATTTAATTATATTAAGATATACTGAGGGTGATCAAGAAGTATACTTGATCTTATTATGAGTATTCATTATTAAAAATCAGAGAAATAATCTCTCAAGTATTTGATTTCATTTCTGTAAAAAAAATTTATTCTTTTACTAAACTGTTATTTAGATAGATAGATACTTATTATCATAATTTGACTAAAAAAATAGCAGAATATATGATCAAAAAGCATAGGAGATATAAATTAATTAATAAAAAGATTATAAATCAAATTAATAAGTTATTAAATTGATAAAGAGAAGTAGATATAATATAAAGTGAAGAATATATTTTGTTATATCTGATTAATAAATATTAAGAATATGTATTATGATAACAGATATTTTTATTTTTTGATATGATTATTCTTATTTTATTATAAGAGATATTCTTTACTTGCTTTATTTATATATAGACTAATAAGTATTAATTAAATAACATGATAATTTAACTTTTACTAGTTTTATTATAGAGATTAGCATTAATTTATTATTAATTATATAATTAATTATGTTACTATATAATACTAGAATTAGAATTAAAATTTGATATTTTATATAATAAATTAGATATCTTATGTTATTCTATACTATAGTATATCTAAAATAGATTTAATCTTCAAAATAGATTTTATATCTAAAATAAACTATATAATGATAATAATATATTATTAATTTTAATTGATTAATTATTATAAATATGTAATTTACCAATTATTAATAATTTGTATATTTTACAAGATTATTACAGATTTAAAATGCATAACATCACTTTCATATGATTTATATATATTATAAATATATCAATCATAATTATTTATTTTCTTGACAAAAGCAAATAATATAACTTTTTTAACTTTTTGATTATATACTCATTATTTCTATTTATTTAAATTTTTAAATATATTTATATTTTATATAAAAAATAACAAATATGTAATTTAAAGTCAATATATTAAAAGAATAAAATTCCAAACTTATAGCTAAAATTATTAAGTTTAGAAAGAAAAATATGAGACTAAAGCAAATTATCAAAAAGAATGAAAAGTATAATATTGGAATTGAGGAATTAGAGTAAAAAAATATAGAGCTTGAGACTAGACTTGTTATATTAGAACAGAAAAAAGAAGAAAAAAGTATTTCTATAGAAGATATTTTGTACTTTTTAGTAAAATTTAATAATACTCTCAAATAGATAATATTATAATATAATGATATTTTAGTATCTGATATAACTGATAATATCTCTGAACAGATAATCTTGCAAAATAAGGATACTCTGATATTTGATATATTCAATATTTCAAATTTTGATAAATATTAGTCTTGAGTTTCTAATTTATCTTTGATTATATTATCTATATGTATAAAATCTAAATCATTAAAAGATAAAAGAATTAATAATTTTCTAAATAAAAAATATAATAAACAGATTTATTTTAAATTAAGAGATAATAAAATTTATTTGAAGAATACTAATTGATTAGTTATTCTAAAGAATAAAACTCTAAGAACTTAAATTTTGAAAGAATATCATGATATTCCTATCTTTGATCATTTAAAAATTGATAAAACTTATAAGTATTTACAAAGATCATACTATTAACCAAAAATATCCAAGAATATTCATAAATATATC